TTTTTGAAAAAACTACATAATTTTGAAAGGAGGGTTGAAAAGTGTTTGTCAAATAAACTACCCATGAGGGTGTTTTTGGAGTTGATTATATGGAGGAGTACTCTCTTACGTTGGCTTATTTATTTAAAAAATTATTTTTTTTAATATTAATTTAGACTTAATTTATAAAATAACACTTCTATAATAATAGATACAATTGTAGGGTTAGGGTCACCATTCTCTTAGCAATTAAATAGCTATTACTTTGGTATTATAACCTATTATTTTCAAAAAAAATTGCAATAAATAATAATTGATTGCATTAACAAAAATGAGAAAAAGAAAAACTAAGATGTTTTAGTATTAAAAATATCAAGATATCTAATTATAATCATCATATAATGTGGATCATACTTTCTCAAATTCACCATGTGACTATCATTTGCTGTTATAACATTTTTAATATTAAAAAATCCTAATTTTCCCTTTTCCTAACAATGATAATAATACATACATCTTGCAAAATTACACATTTCGTTATATACTGACGGAACTATTAGTGTATAACGAAAACCATTAATTTTAACAACATAAATAACAGAAACCATCAGTTTTAATGGCATAAGTAATGGAAATCGTTAGTTTTAATAACATAAGTAACAGAAACCATCAGTTTTAATAACATAAGTAACAGAAACCGTCAGTGTGTAATAGAGTGTGAAACTTTGGGTATATGTATCATTTCTTTTCCTAACAAAAATGATCAATAATTACTAGTATACATATCTTAAAGGTTAAATTCCCAAATTCACCCCTTAAATAGAAGAGCAGAAATAGATCTACCCTTAAAAAGAAAGATAAATTGTCACTCCAAATTATCAATTAAGACATTATTTATTATTTAACATATGTCATTACTACATGTCAGTTTTTTGTTAAAGATAGATTTACGTGGCAAATAGATTCCTAACATATAATGACATTACACGTTAAATAATAAATGATTGATCTTGATCAATAATTTAAAGAAATAATTTGTTCTTGCTTTTTTTTTTTCAATTATAACTGTGAAAATTGAGTATGTGGAAAACAACTTGTATAATCCAAACAAACATTTCCACATATTTCTGGCTGTAAATCTTTTTCTCGACCAAGTTTTTTCGGTGATAATTGTAAAAATTGAGTATGTGAATTTTAGTACAAGACTTACATTTAATTTAAAACTAATTAACAATAAGTAAAGTAGCATGTCTTGTATTTAACACATATTTCTTTATTATATATTTAATATGAGATTTTCACACTTAACACATCTCTTCACGTGCAGATCTATCATAAATGTCAGATCCTATCACATAACTTCATACAAACCTTTGCATGTAGATTCAATATCAACTTCGGGTCTTATTAGGTGGACTAACAACGAACTTCCTAGAAACAAGGTCAGGGTTTTGATACCATTTGAAAATTCAATATATGACCTTTAACACCAAATTATATCCATTCTTAAATCAATTGACAAAAAAAAAAAATTAACAATAAGTAGAGTAACTCTCATTGTATTTAACTTACATACTTTTTTGTTGTTGACTAAATACAAGATCTCCCCACTTAACAATAACCAAACAGGTAAATAAAAAATGGAAAAAAATAAGTCAAAGATGTAATTTACCTATTTTTTCTCCAAGCACTAGTTCCTTCCTTTGGCTTAAGTTCCACAAACAAAGAAACACTTAATTTCTTCTTTTTCTTGTTTTCTGTATATTGGATAATAAGTTATACAACATGCCACAAGGGATAGGCTTTTCCTCTCTTAATCCTTCTTTTCTTATCTTAAGGTTTAAACTTGAGATCTTCAACTTAAAGTCTCAAGTTTTTAACCATTTCGAGACACCTATTTAGGGCCAAAGAAACACTTAATTTATTCCCTCTTTCTTTGCTTTCTCCTCCTTTACCTTCATTAATCTCCTCTGTCAAAACCAACTCAAATCCAACATGGCAAAGGAGAGAAGGTGCGCGCAGCATATATGCATGTGGCAATGGAGGGTCGAGTGTGTGCATGGGTGTTCCTTCCACATGTGGAACGTGCTGAGCAAGCACCCTGCGTGAGATGTGGACCCCACATGCCAACTAGGATGAATGTATGGAGAGAAGGCCTTATGGTCCACCATTTTCCCCTCTTATCTCAAGTAAGGACACATTTCCTTCCAAAGATCTAACTTGCATATCTTAAAAGTTGATAGTGTCAGTGGCTAGGGTATCTTAATTTTGTGTGCTATAAATACAACAACATGGTAAAGAAGTAAACAACAGTACACTCTTGTGTTCATATAGCAAGAACCTTGAAACATGGTGGTTGTCAATGGCAAGAAGACTGCTGCTGATTTTCTCTCCAAGCTGTTCATCCTGCAGAATAAGGCCAAAGGAGCCAGCGCCCTTCCTCCAACCATTCCCAAAGAAGGACACGATGGAGATGGGGATGACGATGACGACGACGATGACGGCGGCGACGTGGCACCTGCAGCGTAATTATATAATATTCTATGAGTAACTAGGTAGTGATGATCCTCGTATAATATTTAAAAGTGCAGTCATATGTGTGTAGGCTAATTAATCTACTGCATTGACTTCCTTATGGAATTCATATGTATTAATCAGTGCTTAGCCAATAAAATATATGCACTTATAAGTTTAGTGATAATAATCCCTCTCTCTCTTTCGATCTTGCCCTTTCCTCTTCTCTCTCTAGGGTTTTGCAATGTCACTGCAAATGCTCATCGAATTTTATAAGCATTTATATGTATTTATGCATCCATAACTAAAAATGCTTGAAACATCATATATGAGACTTTGAAACGGAACCAATTTATAAGAGTTAAGAAGATTTCAAGACTGGATTTTGTTGAAATTAAGGAAAACAAGTTTATATGCTGTTAAAAAAAATTTTAAAAAAAGGGAAACAAATTAATAAAATCTCTGTTAGATACTCAGATTGTTGTAAATTTTTTCTTGAATCCTTACAGATTAATTTTATTCCTTTAAATTTTGTGAATTTATACATATACAAGATCTTCCTGGTATCTGGAAAAACGTCTCTGGCTCTGCAATGACTGGCGTGGCTTCCAGACAACACGTCAGACCTTGTCGAACTTTCCTTGGACACAAAACATAAATTACAGCAAAAAATGGGGCTTTTCTGACACTCTTTAGTGCTCTCCATCAGGTTCTCCTCTGGTTTTTTCCTTTTCCGGTCACCACATGTATGTTTACTCCATCTCCTCGGCATACAGACCTCTAATTCCAAAAGAACAAGATAAGGACAAATAAAGTCTGCTTGGGAACCTGAGTTTAGCAGAGTCTAGAGTGCATTTGAATTTGGAATTCAATATCATTGTTTGTTTTATATTTTGAGCATGTAATTAAATTTGGCTGAAGTATATGCATGTATGATTTTGTGATTTATATTTCACGGAGGTCAGTCAACTATTGCAAAAGAGAGCCTAAAGCAGGAGTGCGTGTTAACGTTGGAGGAGCTAGGAACGTGGAGAAGGGTAGGAGTGCTGCTGAGAGCGAGGTGCAGGTGGAATTTAACCTATATTCCAGCACAAGGGATTTGGTATGATGGTCTGAAATTAACAGTTACTGGTAAGAATGTCAACAATCAAATTAGGTAATATTGCTATATATTATATCAAACATTCTTGAGGTATCATAGCTAGTCAAATAAAACAGCTAACCACCATATCAGTAGATTTATCTTTAGTGTTAAGAATGTTGATGATTGGACCATGGGGAGGACGCCTTGGATACTCTGGGTCAGATAATATAGCCTCTGATGAATTTTTGAATAATCCTGGTTAGGTTGGAATTGTCTGATAATCCAGACAGGATGTAGTGCTTAACTATATATAATGTAGTCTTTCTAGTCTAAAAAGACTATAACTTTAACACCGCTAATATATTATCATATTGTTGTTTCCTTTTGCTTTGAAAACAAACGCCAAAAATTAAAATATTTAAAAAATAATAATAATAACAAAAGTCTTCGAAGCTCGGTATTCAATGTTCTTCTATTTTCCATATCCTTTGGATCGATTGCCTACAAACCCCATCAGTTGTATAAAACTAACGTTAACATCAGAACCAATAGTGTAAATATAAACATTAATACTTAAATTAAAAAAATTAATACCTCTGTAGGGGCTAAAAAATCATGATTTGAAAAGTTGACGTCCTAATTCAACAAAGAGGACAGCCTAGAGAAGACAAAAGAAAAGGAAAAATTAACATAAATATTTTGCATAAATTATTAACAGTAGGATTCAATTGAGATTAAAACGAATTAAACTTTTGCATAAAGTTACGAGAAAATAAGTACTATATACCTTAGCCATCCAGAGCCAATTGACATTGGAAATCTTTTCGCAACCCCATTTGCAGAGGGGAACAAGTGACTCCAATGCAACATATGTTCTTGACTTCATAGTATCCCTCAAAATGAAAATAATAATAATACTAAAACAAAACGTGAAAATGAAAATTAATTGCACCTCTTAATTTTTTAAGTAAGTAGTTATTAGAGATTAAACTCTAGCTCTTGGTTGTATTATAAAAACCTAAACCTAAACCTATAGGTTCTCTATATATATTTTCTATAAGTAATTAACAAACATATTTCAACTTTGTTATCTTAATTTAATTTTTTGATTTTTTAAATATTAATTTTAAATAAAATTTTAATATAAGATACAACTAACCCTAACAAGAGAATAGATGACTAATTATGTATTGCAGATAATAAAAGAAGAAAATTAATTAAGAAGAAGAACATGCAAATCATGTTATGTCGATCGCGCGTCAAACCCCTAGAAGGTTAGAAAGAAGTAATAAAAAGGGAAATTACTCGCGAATTGGCATGGGAGATCTACACACAGGACAGTGGTGACTTCTCTCCTTTAACCACTTCTCAATGCAGGGAGGATGGAAGAGATGCTTGCAAGGCAATCGATGAATCTCCGGCGCTTCGGACAACTTCGCAATGCAAATCGCGCATCCCCCGTAATATCAATTTTCTGAATTGTCTCCCAGCGTACACTTCGTGCCAGCGTAACATTCTTGGTAACCACTATGGACAATCGGGAGCACTTTTGGTTCTCACCTTGGTTCAGAGGTGGAAGGACATCAGTTTCCACGAAAAGGGTTGCTTCCGATTGTGTCAATCCTGCTTGAACGAGGTAGTCCGCTATGTACTCTTTTGTACTGAAAACACTCACTGGAAAAAGAGCACGCGTCTCAGACCAACTCTCGCGGATTAATTCATCACGATAAACTATCACTCTGGAGTCGTTTCTGACGTGTCGGATCATCTTGAACTCGATTTCAATGGAATTCACATGAGGGCTGTTGGCAACAGGTTCTCCTTCCAAGCGGGTGACTTCAACGCTGAAGTCAGATGGTATAATTTTCGTCGCCATGGTAGGAGATGGAGAGGGTGCGTAGAGACGAGGTAGGGTTTTTTTGGCCGGATGGGTGTGCTTTTTTATGTTGCTCCTTAAAGGGATCTAAAAATACTAGCTCTAGACTTCTCTTACTGTTGAAGATTCATAACTTGGAAAGATCGTGATTTGTTTTCCATCTAAAAATATGGTCATAATTAGGAATTTTTGTAGTGTGGTTTAGTTTAGATTTTAATGTTTTTTAAATTAACTTAATTTAATTGATTAATAAAAATTTTAAACCAATTCAATCTATTAATTATTATATGATAACCATTTCAATTTAACTTAAATTGAATCAAGGTGGTTCGATCAAATTGATCAATTTTTAACACTATTAAATATATTAGATAATATAAAATAATTTAATATAAAGTAAAAAACATAATTATAAAATATATTAACATCTATATCAATAAAAACATAATAAAAGGTACAAATTATAAACAAATTCTTATATTCTTTCGCAATTTGTAAAGATTAAAAACATTTGATAATTCTTTACTCTCTCACAGTCGGAGTTTATGGCCAATTCTGGCAACAAAGTGGCAGATGACTCTATTAGCGATAGTAATATAAACAATCACAACAATTGCATTTTGCAGAAGACGAAGGCGTTTGGTGCTAGGGAGATTTGGGACTTTGCCAAATCAATTGGTGCTATGGCGACTGGAAAAGAGGAAGAAGTTCTAAAAAGACTAGAGCAGTTTGAAACACGAGATGGCCGACAACAAGTTGAGGATCCTTCGAGGAAGCAGAGGAACGGCATTGCAGGGGAAGGTACTTTCCAATGATCTTACTCTCTTTCAATACTAGAGGCATAGGGGGTGGGTGGAAAAGAAAAGAGGTTAGGAAACTGGTAGGAAAAGAAAGAGTGGAATTTTTTATGATGCAAGAAACAAAAATGCAGAAAATAGAAAAAAGTATTTGTAGAGATCTTTGGGGTACAAATGATTTTGATTGGGTTGCCCAAGAGTCAAATGGTAGATCTGGGGGGCTAATCTGCATCTAGAATAAAGAGGTTTTCAAGATTAATAGCTCTTTTTAGGGAGTTGGTTTTTTGGGTGTATTTGGGTGGTGGGGTAATGACAGGGTGCCATGCTATATTGTGAATATTTATTCTCCTTGTGATAGCAATGAAAAGAAAAAACTATGGGGCCTATTTGATTTCTAAAAACAAAGGCAATTGGTGCATAGGGGGTGACTTCAATTTTACAAAACCGCAAAAGGAGATAAAGGGATGCAAAGGAGTGCAGAATGAGATGGTTGGGTTTGAAGAGTTCCTTAGTGTCTTGAGTTTGATTGATCTACCAATGATAGGAAGAAGATTTACTTGGTGTCAACCAAATGGCAATGCAATGAGTAGACTCGATAGATTCCTGCTATTAGAAGATTGGCTACTAAAATGGAAAGACATGAAATAATGGGGCTTGAAAAGAGACATCTCAAACCATTGCCCTGTTCTGTTAAAAAATGAGGTTAAGAATTGGGGCCCCAAACCATTCCGCTTATTCAATGCTTGGCTTTAACATCTTGAATTCAAGCCTAAGGTTGCTAAATTATGGAAGACAACTCATATGCAGGGTTGAGGTGGCTACATCTTGAAACAAAAATTGAAAGAAACCAAGTCCTTCTTGAAATGCTAGAGTAAAGAGAAATTTGGTGAGCTGGACAAGAAGATCAAGAATTGTAAAGAAACCATTGCTACCTTAGATGACAAAGGGGAAGTGTTTACACTTTCAAATGATGAATTGGAGACACGGAGACAAGGCACCATGGATCTTTGGAGAATCTTGCAGGATAAGGAGAGCATGCTAAAACAGAAATCCAGGTTATACTGGATTAATTCTGGTGATGCAAATACAAGATTTTTTCATCAAAGCATAAAACAAAGATGGCGACATAATGAAATTAACTGCTTGGAAATAAATGGTGCTCAGCTTCAGGATGTTGAGGAATTACAACAGGGGGTGGCAGAGCATTTTGAGCTTATGTTCAAAGAAGATGACTGGAGGAGACCATGGTTGGATGGTATTGAGTTTAATAGGTTATCAATAGAGCATAATGCCACATTAATCTCACAGTTTACAGAGGAGGAAATAAAAAAAAAAAAAAACAATATGTGCTTGTAACAGCTCAAAAGCCCTGGGTTTTGATGGTTTCACTTTCGGCTTTCTGAAGACTATGTGGGAGGATGTGCGAAAGGAAATCTGTGATTTTGTGGCTGATTTTCAAAGAAATGGGAAGCTAGTAAAGGGCTCAAATGCCTCTTTTATTATCCTCATCCCAAAAAAGGAAAATCCTATCAGAATTGAAGACTATTGACCGATCTCCTTAATTGGGTGTATGTACAAGTCATATCAAAATTACTAGCCAACAGGCTAAGCAAGGTGATTGAGGGTTTAATCGGGGAAAACCAGTCAGCATTTATAGCTAGAAGGTTATTGGTTGATAGTGCCATTGTGACAAATGAAACTATAGACGAAATCAAGCAGAAGAAAAAAAGATGCTTCATTTTGAAAGCTGATTTTGAGAAGGCCTTCGACAAAGTCTCTTGGGATTTTCTAGACTACATGATGTGCCGCATAGGGTTTTGTGATATTTGGAGAAAATGGATCAAGGAATGCCTCAACTCTAGTACAGTTTGAGTTTTGGTTAATGGAAGCGCCACAAAGGAGTTCAAAGTTAGCAAAGATCTTCGTCAAGGGGATCCCTTATCCCCCTTCTTTTTTCTCATTGTTGTCGAAGGTCTAAAAGGCATTATCAATTCAGCTGTTTTAAAAAGCCTTTTTAATGGAGTTCAGGTGGGGTCTAGCAACATCACCATTTCACATCTACAATTTGCCGATGACACCATTCTATTTGGAGAAGCAAATCAGCAAAACATCAAAGTAGCCAAAAGCATAATGAGCACCTTTGAATTGGCTTCAAGACTTACGATCAACTACAACAAAAGTACTTTGATCGGAATTAATGTGGATACAGAAGAGATAAATCATTTTGCATGCTTTCTACATTGCAAGCCTGGAAAACTCCCTTTGTAGTACTTGGGCATGCTAGTTGGCACATCTTTGAGGAGAAAGAGCACATGGTCAACATTGGTGGCAAATTTTGAAAGAAAATTGACTGGCTGGAATAACAGATTTCTTTCTATGGGTGGTAGGATTGTTTGCATTAATTCTGTGCTTTCTAGTCTTCTTGTGTTCCTAATGTCTGCTTACTTGATTCCTGCGGGTGTGATTAAGAGGATTGACTCAATTAGGTGGGCTTTTCTATAGGGGGGGGGGTTGTGAGCTACCAAAAAAATAGCCTGGGTTGGGTGGGAGAAAATTTGCAAAAAGAAAAAGGATGGGGGGTTAGGCATTAAGGACCTTAGGAGATTTAATTTAGCTTTACTAGGGAAATGGTGGAGTAGACTTAAAGATGAGAGTGTGGGGTTATGGAAAAAAATCCTAAGTGCAAAATACAATAAGGAGGGACACAATTGGAGTAACTAGACGAGGGAAGGCAATAAAGGAGGTTCACGGTGGTGAAGAGACATTGGTAGTATAAATCAAGTGTTATATGAGAAAATGGACTGGCTAAAAGCTAGTTTCAAAATTAAATTAGGTGAAGGAAGAAATATATCCTTTTGGCATGATAAGTGGGCTAGAGATAATAGTTTGAAGGGCTTGTTCCCCAAACTTTTTTCTTTGTCTACTGATAAATGCAATTCAGTTCACCAAATGGGATATTGGATTGGGAATTCTTGGAACTAGAATCCAAGATAGAGGAGGCAATTACATACATGGGAGGAAAGCCAGGTGGATGACTTACAACACATATTAAACTCAAACAATCCGAAGAAGACAATGGAGGACAAATGGTGCTGGATACATGAAAAAGATGGTCACTATTCTGTTAGATCTGCTTACAGGTTGCTAACATCCAATGAAGTCGAAAAAGGTTCAAAGACTCTAAATAAGTGCTGGAACCCAATAGTGCCAAACAAAGTTTGCACTTTTGCGTGGCTGCTGTTACAAGACCGTATACCAAGC